TATATGTATATACAAAAAAATCAACTATTTTTTTTTTGAAAAGTATATCGAAAATATGGTTTGGGGCGACAAAAAAAAATTATTGTGAAAGTTTGAGTCCATGAACTATGCATAATATTAATATTAAGAGGTCTATCATCGCAATTTTAATTTTTTTTCCCTCATCAAGTTTTTGTCTCAGAACTCCCAAACCATTGTTTTACAAAATTTACTTAAAAATGTATTTTAAAGAAAATTAAATGCTCTACAAAAAAGGTTAAAGGAAATTTTTCGTCAGATGAACCGTTTCCTTAAAATCACGCCCTAAACATTGGTATAGTTTTACATTTTGATCTTTTAACTTTGGAATTTTAAAATTCATGTAAAAATCAGTACCCATAAAAAACCGATAAATATTCTGATGTGAAATCAAATGCTTTACAAAAAAAGCCATTTTTAGCTAAATTCTAGCTAAATTCACTCCATCAAAAGTTATTCAAGGTTAAATTTCGTTTTGACTTCAACTTTAACCTTGAATAACTTTTGATTGAGTGAATTTAGCCAAAAATTTTAAGAGACTTTTTTTGTAAATCATTTGATTTCGCATAAGAATATTTATCGGTTTTTTTTATGGGTACTAATTTTTACATGAATTTTAAAATTCCAAAGTTAAAAGATCAAAATGTAAAACTATACCAATTTTTAAGGCATTATTTTAAGGAAACGGTTCATCTGACGAAAAATTTCATGTAATCTTTTTTGTAGAGCATTTAATTTTCTTAAAAAATTATTTTTAAGTAAATTTTGTTAAACTCAAAGGTTTGGGAGTTCTGAGACAAAAACTTGATGAGGGAAAAAAAATTAAAATTGCGATGATAGACCTCTTAATATTAACTTTCACAATAATTTTTTTTTGTCGCCCCAAACCATATTTTCGGTATACTTTTCAAAAAAAAAAAAATAGTTGATTTTTTTGGCCCAGTCTAATATACAGTTGGAATGATAACAAATTCAACATTTTCATAAGTGGTGGGTCAGATAGATAGGGAGTGTGGGTAAAACTACCCTAACTTTTTTGTACGTATCTTGAGCTATTATTTGATATGAGATCTTAAAATTTTAGAGTTTTACACATAAAAAAGGTCCCCTTGATGAACTTCAATAGCATGCACTGTTTTTGCTTAAAATCGATTTAAAAATTACCTTACATAGCATAAAAATTCCTAATGAAATCACAACTGTAGAAAAAGATTCAGCATAGGCCATGGACAATTTTTAAACACCCTGTCACATAGTACATGAAACTGTCCCCTGTCTTAAATAATTTAATAATAAAAATGGCAGCTGTGTTCCATGGCCTACGCTGATTTTTTTTCTATTGTGAATTCATTATGATCATTTATGCTATGTAATGTAATTTTTAAATTGATTTTAAGCTAAAACAGTGGATAATATCAAAGTTTAACAAGAGGACCTTTTTTGTGTCTAAAACTCCGAAATTTCATAATCTGACATCAAATCCTAGCACGAGACACATACAAAAAAGTTAGGGTGGTTTTAACCCCTACTCTCAACTACCTGACCCACCCCTCATCGAAATTTTGAATTGTATTATTACATCTTATTTGCCATAAAAAGTTTCATTAATTCCCAAAATTTTACTTTTCTATCTTGAACGGTTTTGGATATATTAAATAAAAACCATCTTCAGGGGCTCCTCTTTCAGCTCTCTTAGAAAGCATTTCTTGGCCTATGTTTATAGGAACTTTTTTTCTTATATTTGTACGTAAAATCTGCTGTTAAAGTATTGCACGATAATTATGGGATACCCTGTATAACCTAATATTTATTTTAGGTGACTCACGGTACCCACTGTTACCACTATTATGGATGCCTCAGAAAATACACTGAAAGGTCGCTCATTTAAAAGCAAAAAATGTAATAGAGCGATGCTTTGGTGTTCTTAAACAAAGGTTTCGGTGCCTGACCAAACTCAGAACCTTGCATTATTATCCTGTCAAGGCAGCAGAAATAGAAGAATACTTCAAAGAATTAACTTGAAAATATAGAAGTTTTTTTTGCTATCTATAACAGTGTAAAATAAATAAATAAATATAATATACACGGAAAAAAAAATGTTGTGAAAAGTACTACAATTGTAGAATTTTCTGGAATAAATTGTTTAAAAAATACGACCAAGAACAATTTGTTGGAAATAATTTAACAATTTTGTAATAGAAAAAAACAACAATTTATTGAAGATATAATTATATATTGTAGTTAAATTACTACAATTTCTGTTTTAAATTAATTTTGTTTTATATTTTAATAAAAATTGTATTGACTAATGCCATTCTTTATTAAAAATAATACAGATTTGCCGTGCTCCAAAATTGTGTACTTTAAATAAATTATACGTTGATATAAATGCTTTAAGTTTTAGTTAATTTCAAAACAATTGTATTAAATAATTAAACATTTTTTTTACAATATAGTTGTTGTAAAATTTAATTTAGTTTTTTTTTTCGTGTAGAAATCATGTATTACTATCACTGCATTAGTGTAATTTAGATATAAACATATTTTGTTAAATTAAAATAAAAGACTAAAATAGTACCTATAACACTATATTTTAAATCCAACAACACATACAATATAACCTAGATATGTTTGCAATATTGCAATTACATTTTTTCCTATATGACTACTATAAAATTTTGCTTTTATACTTTACGAACATGGAAGATTTTTGTTAAATATATAGGTCTGGCAACCCTAAATGAGTTCCTAAATTATTATAAGAAAAACATGTTTTACAAAACAACTTGGGTTCAAAATAATAAAGCAACACGATAAGGCCAAAATATCGTAAATAAAACATTTAATTCATAAAGGTTTTTCTGTGACATTGTTATTTGCTGTATTTGTAATCAGGCATTTTGATTCTTTCTTTTAAAAGTTTTGGTGGTTTCTTCAAACAACAATTATAAATATATATTGCATTTTAAACCCCGCATAAAATTAAGCATCAGAAATTAATAAACATAATAAACTTGTGTTTATTTTCAATTTTTATAAATCATAACCTAAAAAATGGAGCTAAAAATAAATAAAAATGTGTAAAAAAACTATATAGTTCTTAAATTAATGGTATTACCTTATCTTTAATGACATATTTCTATTTAAATATGTACTTTTAATACATACATAACTTGTGTTGATTAATTTTATTGGGTTTGTTTATTAAATGTCATTTGTTGTCTGTATGTTGGCAGCACTGATTTATGTTGTTGCTTGTTGCTTCGCATTATACCTATCCACATAACAAATAATATACATTAAAATAAAAGAAAAATAGTAAATAATACTAATATTTCTTCATCTAAGGCCTTTTATCTCATTCTGTGTAGGTATACTAGAGATACGACACTGACTCAAACTTTCTTCCAAACCGTGCCAAAATACCAACCAAACTGAGCAAAAGTAACTGTTTTAACGGACTTGCTAACTTAACAAGAGATAGATCAAGACCCCGAATATTTATTACGACCCGAATTTTTAAGCAACCAGCAATCGGAAGAACCAAACATAATAAATTTAAATAGACTTAAATTTAAAAATAAATCCAATTTGCCACATATATTTATCCCTAATCTTAACGCTATTTTTTTAATTGATACAGGTTTAGTGACTATTATGAAGGTGTAATAGGTATTACTTAAAACACCTGTCATGTCAATATTATATTGGATTACAAATCCGATGAATTCCCAAATTTAAATAAAAGTAATTATTTAGTTTCTATTTCAACTAGAACAAAGGAAGTAATTAAAATTCCAGTAAATCAAAAAAAATGGTTAAGCTTTACTAAACTATATCAAATTCGATAATCAAGTTGAAACACCTCATTCTTTAGTTAACTTAAATAATTTATTTGCTACCACTACAATTACTAACGCCTCTACATTCCCAGTAAAAATGGGTACATTGTAACTCCGAACAACGTAATTTAATACGAAAACTTTGTTACAAATACCGAGACATATTTTATAACGAAAATTTACCATTAACATTTACGAATAAAATTAGACATAAAATTAACCTTAAAGATGACACTTTTAATAAAACATATCGCTATCTCGAAATTCATAAATCAAAAATCGTAAGTCAATAAAATGTTGCATCAAGGAATAATCCAACATAGTACTTCACCCTGGTCTTGTCCTATTTGGATTGTACCAAAGAAATTAGAATCTCCAAATAAATAAAAATGGCGGGTTGTCATTGATTATAGAAAACTGAACGAACGAACAATACCTCCGCCCTCTAATTACTAAAATTTTAGACAAATTAGGTAACTCCCAATACTTCGACACTTGCAAGTGGATTTCACCAAATCGAAATGGAGCCACGTGACATTAAAAAAACCGCCTTTTTAACAGAAATATGACAAAACGAGTTTAAACAAATGCCTTTCGGTTTAAAAAACGCACCCTCGACTTTTCAACGTGTAATGAACAACGTCCTTCGCGGATTACAAAATGAAACATGTTTAGTTTACTTAGACGATATTGTCATTTTTAGTACATCATTGCAACATTAAGATATACTTTTTATTTAGCCAGCTCATTATTATACATTTTTTGGTTCTTAAAAACAACCACAACACCCAAGGCTGTGACCGGGAATCGAACCCGGTACCGTGGCGCAAATTGATTACCGCTCTGTAGCTTTAACGCACTGCGCCATCCTCGACTGGCTGGATGTGTATAAGGAAGTAGTTAATAAAGAACTCTACGATTTAGAAGAATCTAAGCTACTTGATATGGATAATAATCAGCACCGTCTTAATTCACTTTATTTACCTTGATCATATTAATAACTTACTCAGGTCCTTTATAAGTGGATGGAACTTACACAAAGTAAGGTCAGAATAAAGACGTTCACTGCGACAAATATGGATTGATGGAATTTAAAATAACATTAACAGTGGACACACTACAATTTTAGAAATATTTTAGAACAATGAAAATATCCTTCAGCAAACACAAGAAGTCTTTCAAAATGACGTGAATCAACTAGATCCAAATATACCTTTAGAATCTTCACTGCATAAGGAGCCAAATCCGTCCACTGAAGAAAAACGTCAAAAAGTACAAAATGTTATTGAAACTAATGTATGTTTATGTAGTTTATTTCTTGTTTAAATATTATAACATTAATAAACATTCTGTAACAAAATAAAATTTAAAACATAAAATAAAAATTATACCTACCAACATTTTTATTCCAACAAAATAAAAATTTTTAAAAAAAAAACTTTTGTAAACAATTAATAACTGGTAAATACCCTGTTTTAAACTTTGAATATTTTGTACTAATTGTAATTGTAAGCTTTAGATCTTAACAGTAAATCGTGTACCAAAAGAGATACCAGAAAGTGACATCAATATCAGATTTAGTAAGTATCATACTTAAAAGCAGCATCTGAATTCAAAAATGCATTTATTTCATCACTAAATTCCTTTTGACTGTCGTAGGCAACGCTTAATTTTATTAATTTTGCACATGTTTATTTGATTGGTCTTCGTGCAAGGCCCATTTCATTATGAAAGTCAACAAAAATTTGCTCAGGCATTTGCGCTGTAGCCGTTACAAATAATAAAAATCTTTCTAGTTCTTTCATGTTAAGACCCAAAACAAACATCTGTAAAAAAATATTTAGTCTGTTCTGTAGGATAGGATACTTGGAGTTTTAAGCAATTAGCAACTTTTTCAGCTGTAGGTTATATAGATTTCCATAAATTTAATGCGAAGTTTGGAGGAAGATTATTAAATATAAAATAATATCTTTTGGTACATATTTCTTATTTTTTTTTAACAAATCTGCAGTATTTTTAATTAATGTATTTTTCGCCAGGAGCAGAAGATGCTGTTTTATATCTTTCTCATTGGGCAATACATTACTAAGCCCATAAGTTATATAAAGACTAGTTAATCTATTTATCTCCATCTCAGATAATTATTAAAATTGTTAAGTCGTTTTTGCATTAATCTTTGTTCAGGCAGAGTTGTAAATATAAAATGTAGTAACATTTCTTCGTTTGAGGTATATTTATCTTCTTTGTCAGATAAAGCAGTAAGTGAGATCATATAACCTAAAATTATTCCTAGTATACCTAAAATTATAATTAGTCAGGTCCTAGGGGATATACTTATTTAAATAATAAAATTAAAGTGAGTAAACACATTGCTACTCAAAACATTCTTGATAATCACAGAAGTGAACTAATAAAATTAATAAGTTACAAGTAGGTAAAAATTAACTAGGGAGCATAGGGTAGCGAGATGGCAGTGGGCCGAGAAAAACCGCAACTGGACAATTAACAAATGGATAAGTCCAGATTTCGTCTGTATATTTCCGATGGGCTTCCGATGAAGAGATCGAGATTAGAGATAAAATGAACATGTTAGGGTTCTAGTCCCTGCTTTTGGAGGAGGCTTTGTCTGCGTTGGGGGTGAATTTTGTTTAAACGCTCAGAGATATCGAGATTTCGTTGTAATCAATTATTGTTCCATTTGCGGGTGCAATCGGCGAGAATTTCATTTTAGTTGATGATATTGCGCGCCCTCATCATGCACGCATTGTAAGATTAGAATTTCAAGGTATTAATAGAAAGGAATGGCCAGCCCAACTGATCCAGAGTATGCCTGCTAGAGTTTAAAGAGTCGGGGTCAGGGTTGGATGGGACGATCGGGCAACCGGGCAAATGCCCGGTACAATTGAGGGCCGGTCGGGCCGCAGCTGCTACGTGTCTAAATTAATAATATATGTTTGACAAAAACACCAAGGAAACTATTGAAAACATTCAAACTAAAAAAATATTAAAAACATAAAACATTTAAACTAAAAAAATATGTATGTAGTAACTCGTTGGATTGGATACGGGAGCCTTGGCATGATAGAAAGGTTGGCATTATCGCAATGAAATTATTCCTTTTGGCTTTCGGAAATAAGGGACTTCCCCGAATTTGTTTTTACTGACGATTGGAATAATTTAATATCGGTTGCGTTTGCAGCGCTTCTTGTAGCTATAGTCTTAACATGGTATTTTATAACATTTCCTAAAATCAAACAAGCGTGTTGTATGTGTTGTAGTAGTTGTTTTTTTAATTATTAAACATGGATAAGCAAAGCAACGCATTAATGAAAGATTATAAAGTCATTCCATGTCATGATACTTCTGGTCAGGGTTTTCATACAAAGCTTAAAACAGTACTAGAAAAAAATTGAGAATTGTATCGCAAACTTCACTGACGGTGCAGCAAATATGCAAGGAAAATATAATGGCTTTTTAACTAAAATGGTAGAAGAAAATAATGAGCATATACATATATGGTGTCACAGTCATATTTTAAATATCGTAATTGGTGATATCATAAATCGGGTGGCTCTAAACAAAGTTTTTTTCAATTTCGGTGATACCAAAGCATGTCTTTACATCGATGTTCTTTAGTATCTTTTTATTATATTAAACAATCCAAATATCTACGATACCCGTGGATCAGCAAAAACCTTTTAGATGGCTTGATAAAATACAAAAATATTCTATTAGGTAAATATTTTTAAAAATAGTTACAGGTCCTTTATCGTGTTATTTTCAAACAAAAGTCTTAAACCTTCTTACTTGCAATTCGATGGTAAAAAAATCAAGTCCATGCAGACATATATGACTAAATTCAGTAGAAATGAAGTAGAAAAAGCTAAAAATGATTATTTATCATGGGCAACCTCTTAACTTGGAAAACGAGACTTGCTACAAATTGAGGTAGAAGAGGATTTTCCTGAAATTCGTCACAAAACTAGACTAGACTAGAAAGCCGATAACGAACAACCTCAAACGTTAAAAGATAAAATTCGAGTTAAAACGTATAATGTTCGACGTCGCTTCTGAGTCTATGGTATCCCGATTTATAAAAAATGGGGACTTATGCAGTAATTTTGCCATATTGGACCCTACAAATTTTAAGGACTTAAAAATTAAAGGATTTACCGAAGGTGCATTGCCAAAAAATAAAAAAAAATATGGGTAGATTTTATGAAGAACTTTTAAGTTTCATTAACAACTGGGATCAATTTAAAATAAGCCTAAACGAACTTCTTAATAGAAAAGATAAAACAAATCCATTAAAAAAATTTAAAAAAAATTGGAAAATATCGATGGTAATAGGTTGTCACATAGTTACATTAAAATATACGTATATGTATACAAAAAAAAATTAAGAAGCTTATCCGATGTGCTAGTGCCAGCTTATCAGTATCTTCTTGCAATACCAATATCTCAAGTAACTTGCAAAAGATCATTTTCAGTCCTAAAATATATAAAAAATCAGCTAAGAAATAGATTGGCCGATTCATGTTAATGAAAAATCGGTATTGGATCAAACTAAAAATGACGAGATCATAAATAAAATTACATCAAGTTAATTATTAAAAAAGTCGTTACCCTATGAATAACTACCATACTATATACTATATACCATATTTAATACTACTACATATGAAGTTATTATTATTAAAATAAAAATACCAAAATATTGTTTGTCTTTTTATAGTAAAATTTTTAAAACATATCTTTGATTTTTGTGCCCGAGGAAGGGCTGAATGAAACAAATTACCAGGGCCGGTTTTTCTAAGCCCATCCAACCGACTAGATATTAGTTTTCTTCTTCTTCTGATCCTTATCAATTATTGAGCACTGTAGTTTGGAAACGTAAGTATTTTGTTGGTGGGTAAAGAAGCCGTGCGGAATGGGAGCCAGTGGCTAATGGGAGCCACCTTAATATTACGTGTTGGAACGCCTTACCTTACCTAACTTCTTAACGCTCCCTAGACTTGACCTTGAGCTCTGCCGGTATCCAGACGTTATCTATAATTATCATTAATTTCAATCAGTTTGTTTTTATATATTGACGGAAGTGCTGTGCATTTCTCATTGACTTCTAGAGTGATACGTGAAAATTACTAACGTGGTAAGTAATACTAGTTTTCGTCTATTCCAAATTATTTTATCAGCGTAGCTTCGTAAAAGTTTGTGTTTTTACTAAATCATATCTGATTTTCTTTTAAATTATGCTTTTCTATTTCCAAACATGTTTTATGGTTTATCGAGTTTTGTCGCCTTGCCTATAGATGCGCAGAAAATCTTAAATTAAGGCATTCTTCCAACACCCACGAGTATTAATCAAATCAAAGGTTTTAACAAGATAGAAGTCACTTGGTTCTTTAAAAATCCATTATGTCTAAATATAATTTTTAAAAGTCGAACATTTATAATATGGATAAGACGGGTATAACAATGGTTTAAGAACCAGGAACAATTTTAGCAAAAAAGGGACAAATAATAATAAGTTCGTCAACTCCTTGGAAACGTGGGAAAAATATTACCGTAATTTGCTTCATCAATGCTGATGAATTTTATGTGCCACATTTTTTATGTTCCCCAGGAAACGGTTTTAGGTAATGACTCATTTAAGATGCTGAATATCAGGTCACATTTAATAATAATAATAATAATAAGTCAGTTTTTATAGTGCTAGATAATCATTCTAGTCAAGTAAAACTAGAAGCTTATAATTATTGTGGGAACAATTATATAAATATGCTTTCACTACCGCCCTATGCAGCCGTTGGAGGAAACTTTCTTTGGACCCCTGAAAAAGGTATATTATAGGGAATGTGATCTATACATGAGATCAACATGAGATAACACCGTATGATGTTGCATGTATCTTATATAAAGCATACATCATTAAGTAGCTTTAATATACAAAGGAATATCAGGTTTTAGATGTACTGGTATTTTCCAGATTCAGACAGATATTTTTACTGATGTAGATTTTATATACGATTCCAAGCCACCAGTTCGTGTAGTACCAAATAATGGTTCCTATTCCAATTCGTAGTATCAGCTATAAACATCCCCACTCATCTGTAACTTCCCCAAATAAGATTTTACCAGAAGCCTTTCCTGAGCCTAAACCCGGTTGCCCAACATGTAATGATAAACTACAGACAAAAGCATCAACACTTCATCAATTTCTGAAATTCTTTTGATGATTTTCCCTGGGCCAGAAATGCCAAAGAACCCGAAAAAGAATTTAATACCAAAACAACATTCCATAATTTTAACTGAAACCCCTATGAAAACGTTTTTTGAAGACAATCAACAGAAAAGACAAGAACGTGAACAAAAGGGAAAAACCAAACAATTGGTAATTGGAAATTGGAAACACGAAAAATTATAAAATCCCCAAAGAACAAACAAAACGGCAGGTTTCATCAGTCTTCATTATCAAAAAACGAAGATATTTAGTCAATTTAAAGAACGTAAGTAAGTAAATAGTAAGTTTATATTAAATCAATTTTTTATTACAGTTACAAATACTACAAGTAAATTG